CCTACTGTTATATTCAATTTGCTAACTTTTTGCATCTATGTTCAAGAGAGATACTAGTTTATAGTTTTCTTGTAATGTCTTTGGTTTGGTATTAGTATAATCCTGGCCTCATGAAATAAGGTAAGAACATTAAAATTTTCTGGATAAGCTTGTATAGAAATTGTGTGATTTCTTACATGTTTGGTAGAAATCGCTAGTGAAGCCATCTGTCTAGCTTTTTCATGATGGTATCCTGCAACAGATCACTGGAAACTCAGGGTAATCCAGTGATCAAATCCACTGGGTGTAATTAATTAAAAAAAAAAAAAAAAAAAAAAAAAAAAAGTCCTGTCCTTTGAGCATCCTGAAGTGTAGAGGGAGTTAATTAAGAACACAAAACTGAAAGCTACTAGGACCAACAGGATAGACTCTTGAGAAGAGTAATTTGTCTCACTGCTTCTGTGGATAGTAGCATTGAAAGAAAATGTGATACTTAGCCAGCATCATAAAATTCAGAACATACCTGGCTATGATATCCTCTTACTAGCCCTAAACTCAACATAAAAATCATTACAATATTCCAATAACAGTTTTATCCTATTCAGTAGAAATTAAGAAATCAGAAGAATCCTAAAGTGACAATGTTTCATGTTAGTTCTGCTTTGTATTCTATTTGAATAAATACAAATAGTTATTGAGCTCTTTCTTTGGAAGGCTTATATTCTAACAGATATATTAAACAAACACCATTAAGTACATTAAAAATAATAAGTGCTAAATAGGTAAACAGAGCAAGATCAGTGAGAGCAGGAATATCAGAGGGCAGGGCTGCATTTTACACAGGGGATTGTTGGATCAAGCGTGACACTGAGCAAACATTTGAAAGCAATAAGGGAGTAAGCTGGGAAAGAACATTCTAGGCAAAGGGACAAAAACCTGAAGACAAGAGTGTGACTAGAGTGTGTGAGAAAAGGAAGCCAATGTAGGGGGGAGTACTAAAAGAAGGAATCGTTGAGGCCATAGGCCAAGGGTCGGCATTTATTTTTCTGTAAAAGGGCAGACAGTAAATATTTTAAGCTTTGCAGGCCACGTAAGTTTGCATTATTCTTCTTTGTTTTTTAAACCAACCCTCTAAAAATGTTGAAATCATTTCTTGCTCATGAGCCTTTACAAAGACACGCCTAGGCAGGATTTGCCCTGTAGAACTTAGTTCGAGCCCTTGTAAGGACTTTGACTTTTACCCTAAAGAAAATATCATTTGATTCATGTTTTAAAAGACCAACCAATTAGAAGAGGTCAATGCAATAATCCAGAACAGAGATAATGACAGTTCAGACCAGGCTGGTAACTGGTTAGATTCTGGCTTTTTTATTTTTCCTCCCAGATAAAGTAGATGGATTTGCTCATAATTGGACTTGGGAAGTGTGAAAAGAGTCATAGATGAGTCAAGACTGTGACCTAAACAACTAGAAGGTTGGAGTTTCATTAACCATTAGGAGAAGATGAAGAGTAGATATATAAAGAATTCCTATTTCTTAGATTCTGCCATAACTTTGAGCTATTGTTTTTATTCTTCCATAACTTCAGAATCATTTTTGTCAAATTACAAAAAAGATCCTGTGATTTGAATGATTAAAGATTAATATGAGAAGAAATGGCATCTTAACTATATTCCATTTGATAACACAGACCAAGTATTCATTGTGCCTCTGAATAAGGTTTTACAATTTTTTTTTTTTTTAGGTTTTACAATTTATTTCATAAAGGTTCTTACATACTTCCTGATGAAAGTATTCTCAGACATCTTATACATTTTTGTTGCTATCATAAATGAAATGCTTTAAAAAATAATTTCTAGATAGTTCTGATTGGTATTTAAAAAAGCTATGAATTTTCTACTTATTTAGCTGCTCTAATGAACTCTCATTTTTGCAATGATTCTCGTGTTTTGTATAGTAATTTTCCTCTCTCTTTGTAAAAACTGTTTTTTATTTCTAAACCATTTCTTTATGCTTTGGACAGAAATTCCAGACAAAGCTAAATAACAAGCTATAGCAAACACTCTAGTTTTAATGGAACAACTTTCAGCTTTTCAGTCTTTCGTATGATATCAAAGTGCTTTTCATGGTTTTTAACTTAGTGATTAGATTTTTTATTTTTCCACTAGAGGCCCGGTGCAGGAAATTCGTGCACAAGTGTGGTCTCTAGATCTGGCAGGTGATCAAAGCATGAGTGTCTGGTGTGGAAGGGCAGGTCCCAGGTGACCTCTGGGCCCTGGGCAGCACTGGGCTCCTGAGTCCCCAGACTTCCCCCTCTGCCTGAGTCACAGCGCCTGAGTCCCCATGCAGTGAGATGCAGTGAGCATGGGTGGACACCGCAGGCTGGTGCGCTGAAGCTGGGCAGGCAGCACACTCTCTCCTGGCCAGCATCGCAGACCAGCTCCTGCGCAAACCCATGGGGAGCCCTTGCGGTCCCAGTGGCTGCAGCCTGGCTTACTGGGAAGAGGCCACATGGGTAAGGGACGGGCTCATTGGGTGCTCGGCACCTGAGTGCACAAGCCCTTGCGTCCTGGGGGAGGGTAGCAAGGAGAGTGGGAGTGAGCTTGGTGGACACCCCGAACTCTCACCGCACCTCTGTCCCTGTCATCCCCGCCCCCAGGTAGCTGGCGAGAAGTCACAGCCCTCTATCCAGGCATCGCAGGAGGTTGGTTGTTGCCACCCACCCCCAGTTCTCTATCGCAGCTTAGGGCTCGGCCCCAATCAAGGCATTCTGACTGCTGGTTGCCATCTACAGTGCAATCAGTAAAGCGATTGGGCCCCTGTTCAGACCTGCCTTGGCCTACTGCCCGCTCACCTGCTCCACCATCCCACCGTTGTTCCACTCAGGACGGGCAATACCTCCACTGCCACCGGTTGCCAGCATGTTCCGTACCACCCCCCTAGCGGTCAGCGCACATCATAGCGAGTGGTTGAACTACCCGTCAAACTCCCAGGCTTTTATTATTTAGGATTGTTTTCATGTCTCAGTTCCCTCTCATCACCATTTGATTTAGTTGCTACTTCCTTTTGAATCTTGATAAGAAAGTGAATCAGAAATTTCAGGGTTTATCTCCCTATTCTTAATCTATTTCAGAAAAAGTAGATTTTGCATGGGTAGCTCTTCAGAGTTGCCACATTCTTTTGAAATAAATTTTATTAAAAAAAAATTCAACTATTTTTCTTTGCCTTATTATAATAGCAGAAATGTCTATTTGTGATTAGGTATAGAGCAGGAGTTCCTAACATTTTGGGCCATATAATTCTTGGGGGTGGAAGAGGGGGTCTCATATTTAGCAGCATCTCTGGCCTGTACTAACCAGATTCCACTAGCAGCTTCCCACTGGGTTATAACTGAAATGTTTCTAAGAATTGTCAAATGTCCCCTTGGCGGGCAAAATTGCCCATGGTTGAAAACCACTGATTTTAATTAAGTAGATGATATGAACTCCATCAGTGACTAAGCTTTATCATTATAGGATTCACCTCTGATGTCACTTCCTCAGTAAGAATTCCTCCATATAACCTATCTAAATTAGGACACTCTCCCTACCCAACGCTACCATACATACACACAAACTCTTTTCATTAAATATCACAGCAGATTTCAAAGTGTGGACCCCTTTCAAGGAGTTTGTGGGGTCAAAACTGTTTTCAATCAAACTAACACACAATTTGCCCTTTTCCACTATATTGTTATTTGCACTGATGGTGTGGACCCTTAGCCAGACTCAAAGCAGTGACACCAAATTATACTATCTGTCATTGTAGTTTTTATCACAATGCATTAAATTGCAAAAGAAAGAAACGTATAGGGAAGGGGGTTCTGAAAGATGAATAGGGCTGAGGTGGAAATGGATCAGGGGTGGGATGGGGAAGAATCAGACAATGGCATGAAAAACAATATAGCTGATTATGTGCTTTAGTTACTTTCAATGGACAGAGGCAAGTTAACCTGTTAACCGAGCGGGACCTATAAATACGTCAAACGTAAACAATATCGGGAACTGGTAGGACATATGAATACGTCCTTAAAATAAATGTTGCTCCCTGAAAGGGACGGTATATATTTTTTGTAATCTTTATAATTGTTTGTAAAATTTATAATTTTTTAATTCGATGTCTCCATATTTTTGTTGGTATTCTTTTCTATTTGTTTGTAATTTTGTATTTTCCTTTGTGCTTTATATATAAATAAATGAAAAAATATATATTTCATTTATTTTAATTAAGTATAAATAAAAAAATGAAATTACGTCCACCGGGCGTGACGTACTGACACGTCCTAGTGAAAGAGTATGTGCCCGTTATACGTTGTGTAATTAAAAAGGAAACTCCCCGGTTATTAAGATGCTAGAACACAAGAATAAGGGATGGGTTGAAATTCACCTAGAGAACAGAGATCAGGTCATAGAGTCTTATGTGCCATGCAAGGAGTCTGCACTGAGTTTAAGGCAATGGCAATATTTTAGAAATAAGGAAGGTCATGAGGATCTTCACTAAGTAGGATTGGAAGGCATAATCAATTCATAAACCCCTTAGGAAGTAGGGGTTCATACTATTAGCGAAAGATGACGTTTTGAAGGAGAGCAGGGAGACAAGATTGGGATGAGTCAGATTTGGGCTGTGGCGAATGGGTAGAGGGAGATACTCCTCATGAAAACAGGGAACACAGAGAGAAAACAAGAAGGGGTTAACTCCCTAGGAAGACTATTGGTGGAAACACTGATTTTAGGAATCAGATAAATCATTTCAACAATGAAAAAAACAAAATTATTTTTAAATAAACTTGGAAACCTCAAATGAAAAAAGTTAGAAATACATTTGGTAGACAGCAGCGCAGGAGAAAACCTGGTGTTTAAACAGCAGCAAATGTCGTATTTTAAAATCCAAATTAGTATTAATTTTTTTAAATCACCTCATAATTTATCTTATACTTACTCCTAATCAAAAGATTGAAAATATAAAATAATGCCAAATACATACCTTTTCTGCTTTTTTGTCAGAAATGTCTTGCTTCTCCAGCACAGCCATGCTCTCCTTCAGGTTCTTCACGATATCTGCTGGAGACTTGTGAGACTTCCCAAATGGGAACGGCATGGCGGCGGCAGTGACAGGCGCCTTGCTGCACTCTGCCTGCTGTAGCTGGGGACACAATACAAGGTACAAGTAAGAAGAAAGTAATGTCAATTAGAAGACATACTTTCTAAATCAGTAGAAACTGGGAAATCTACCAGTATATGCGAGAAATGATAATACAGCTATATCTTAGAATTGTAGAACACTTCTACTTTTCAAAAACATTTTTTATCACCTGTTCTTCCAACCACCCATTTGAGGAGGAACATGCAGGTGCTGACAGTTTAGGGGCTATCTTTCACATGGCACCTAGTTCTGCCAAGCCAATGCTGAGAACTAAGTGGCAAAACGAGCTCAGGTCTGTTTTGATCCAAAATACCCTTAATAGATATCTCTATTTTATAATTGAGAAACTGAGGCAAGAAGCCTCAAAGTGTAGGTAAGGAGCTTCATCAAACAGCACTAGAAACAGGTCTCTCCAGGGGCCTCTCTTCCAGTGTTCATGCTGTTCCTCCTAAGTAATCTGGTGGGCACACACTTCCACAGCCCACCCATTCTCCTTTTCCTCCTCTTCAGTTAGTCACAGTATAAGAGTTGGAGAGAACCTTGAACAAATCTCCCATCAGATCCTCAAATCCTTTAAGTGCCAGTTTCAACATGTACTCTTTCTACCTCGATACATCTCCTATGAAGGAACTCATTGGGCAACACCTTGCAGATAATGAACTTCTGAAAGTTCTTAATTTTTGTGGGCAGCAGAAAACAACATTCCCACCAAATCCACCACAATATTACATAGTACAAAAGGAGACATCAGTCTGGCAGGTGTGGCTCAATAGTTGAGTACCAACCTATAAACCAGAAGATCATGGTTTGATATCTGGTCAGGGCACATGCTCCCGGTAGCAGGCTCGATCCTTTGAACTTTGTCTACGACTTCATTTGAAAAAAAGTATTTGAATGTTTTTCTCTAACATTTGAGATACAGTGACCTACATATTTATTTACAAGTAAGCATTCAGGAGAGAAAAAGCATGTAAATAAATGCTAATGTTAAACTTACAATGAAATAATGGACAGGTATGTGATTTAGTGACTTATGGATGTGTTTGACTTGAGCATTCTCTATACCCAAATATCACCTACCTAGCTCACCCTTTGTCAGCTTGTAAACCCTTCATTGTTTAATTCACACTTCATTAACCAAAAGGAAATGTCCTTAAACATAGGTTCTCAAAATTCAAAGGTGCATAAATTTACTTCTGAATATCTTTTCTATGACAAGAAGTGTGGGTCAATTATAGGCGACTTACTCCCGTAGGACTGTTAAATTTTTTTTTATTACCTGCCTACATGTAACACAAATCCTGGATAATTATTTTCCATCATGCTTTTCTTAACTTTTTTTGTTTTGTTTTGTTTTAGTGGGGTGAGGGGCAATGCAGGTTGATTCTCCATAAACATTGCGGGTCCACATAGTCAACTCTCCGAAAATATCTTTTCTAGTTGTACTCTACAATGAATGACAGTGATGCCACAGTCAATGCTGGGTGGAGGGTGGGAATGAAACAGTATTTTGCAGGAAGTGTTATGGTGCTATGCAACAGAGATATTTTCAGTTCTGGCTCAATGGTGGAAGGAGTGACTTTCCAGGGCAAAGGGGGTTTTAAAAAGTCCTACCATACGCCAAATACTGTTCATAGTACAGAGTACAGCTGCCAAAGAGAGCACAGATAAGGAGAGGCACACACAATACTCTCTGTAGTTAGTACACCAGACAGCCAAGAGTTTGCCGAACATATAATATAAACTAATAAGACTGTATTTTGAGGAAATAAATACAGTGAGCAAAAAGTACCCGAAACAAGAAGTGGCGACACCTCAGCAGGATCCAGTCACAGTGGTGAAGCTATTCATGACATGCTCACATTCACTCCTTCTTCTCGCCCTCTCTTTCCCTCATACTTCATATATTCCTTTATGACAGTGTTTCCCAAAGTGTGATACGCGTATCTCCAGGGGTACGGGAAGAGTTTGGTGGGGGTACGCATTGCACCGGAGTTTAGTGGGTATATGCACTGCACCGTGCTTAGCTGCGCCTAACTCTATGTTCTCATAAGTACGAGGGGTACTCAGCATTACAAAAATTATAGAAGGGGTACATATATGTCAAAAGTTTGGGAAATACTGCTTTATGATATATTATTTTAAAAATATAGTTAAAAAATTAAGTAAAAAATAAAAACTATACAAATAACATTATAAAACTTATAAACAAAAACGATATAGTTCTTATTTTGCTTATTGATTGATTACTTTGAGAGGAAGAAACACTGATTTGTTGTTGATTGCCTCCTGCATATGTCCTGACCAGGAATTAAACCCACAAACCTGAGCATTGGAAAGAAGCTCCGACCAACCGTGCTACCTGGCCAGGACTATATGGTTATTATTTTAAATTATTGGTGTAATAAATAAATCCTTTGCTTTCTTTCATTTAGGTCCTCAAATTCACCAATTCTTACACAACTCAACCATCAAAGATTTTGCAGGGCAAAGACAAGGAAATAATACCCCTTATTAAAACTTCTGCCTTAGAATATGTTTCTTATGTCTAAGTTTGCCATGTATTAAGCTTAAATATTTTATACTAATGTATGCTACTCAGTGATCCAACTTTTAAAAAAATTAATTGACAACATAGAAAAGTTTAAAATTAATGAATGGCTCTTAGGTGAAGATCAAGTGGGTAGAACATTGCTAAAATGGTAAGAAGAGTCATGCTTTATGAAATAAAGCTCTTATAAATATGTTAGCTTAATATGCATAGAGATACTAAGTATTGATTGTTACTGAATTTATGAGTGTAATAAAGAAAACATAAGGAGCTTGAAGCAGATGTTATGAGTAATATGGTGAAATCATGGATGTGTCATACAAGTATGCTTATTAAAGTTGTGGGAAAAGATACCAAAAACAATCAATCCAAAGAGTTGGATAGTGGAGAAAGAAAGGGGAAAAAATGGCATTTTTTTTTCTTATAAGCCCTTTTTGTAACTATTTGCCTTCCTTCAATTATACACATGTATTATTTTTTACACATGTATGATTTTGAGAAATCAATGAATTATCTAAAACAATCCATACTTAATACATAAAAGGTATTATCTGTAACACAATTAAATGGAAAGCTAAATGAAAAGTAATGCTATCAATGAATCGCATTAATTGTGAAAGCTGGATAGAGCCAGTAAATCAGAAGTGTTTTTCAAACTTTGATCATGATCTACAAGTAAGAAATGTATTTAATTACATACTTGTGCATGTGGATGCATGCAACAAAGCTAAAACTGACTTTTTTCTATTGAATTCAATTTCATTTTTAAAAAATAGATGATTGAACAGATTCATGAATCACTAATTGATTTTAGTGATTATAAAGAGGAACAAAAAGACTTGGAACCAAAAACAAACTTAGTTTTAAAAAGAGTTGAGCTTCAGTGCTTCAACTCTTGCTTCATTCAGTCTCCTCATTTCAATCTTTACTCATAAGAACCAGAAGTTAATCCCTCTATCGAACACCAAATGACTATCCAACAATGCTCAAATAATAGCAACGGCACCACTAATGGACTCTTTAGCCCACACCGCTTTTTCCCAGAAGTGCCTTCAAAAGAACCTTGTCCATCCTCAAGCAATACCATTCAAAGTGCTCCGGAACCTTGAAAGATGTGAAACACAAAGACACATATCTGAATTTCTTAACTGAGAATTCCAAGAGTATGGAGATTGTCAAGTTAAAGGTAGCAATGGTTAAAAACAAGGGCTATGATGGCTAAAAGACACCTTTCACTATAACAATCTGCCTGCCTTTCTCATTTCCCCCTGCTTCCTTTATCATCAGCAGCATTTAATTAGAAGTATTAGGGAAAATTTAGGAACTAAAAATAGCAAGAACCCATTGATTAATGCCCTTCAGTGATTTTTCATTGCCCTTTTAATAAAATCAAAATTCCTTGCCAGGGCCCTCTAGGCTTCGCTCATCTTCAACTCACTGCACAGCCCTCCGGCCTCTCATTACAGAAGTTCACCCATACTGAGATCCTTCTGTTCCCTGAATATGCCTATTACTTCTAAGCCTGAGCACCACATTTGCAAATATGGTAAGACCTTAATTTTTAAATCTTGATGGTGAGAACATGGACTTTTATTGCTACTCAACTTTTCTGTATGTTCAATTTTTCTTTCCTTAATAGTGTTTTAAAACTACCTAAATGAGTTTTGAACATAACTGGAGTTCATTTAGAAAATAGACAAAAATAAATATAATTGAAAAAATTTCCCCGTCCTGCTAAAAAAAAAAAAAAAAAATTAGTTCATAATAAATCTCAACAGAACTCCTTAAGCTGAGCCAAAATTATTAATGCAACTGGGAGAGAGCTAGGCACTGCTAGGATTCTAAAGAGGATTTGAAAACCACATCTCTCAAACTGGAGGAAAGCATGCTCCTGAAGGCAATCAGGGATGTACACGTGAATCCCAAAAAAGAAAAGGAGCCTCGGAGGGCAAGTTTAACTTGAAAATTTGGGGGGTGAGTGAGGAGGGTAGGGGTGGAGAATAATTTAACATTTTACTTTTATATTAAAATAGACATTTATGGAATTTATTAAGTCTGCATGGAAGGAATTTGCATGTCTATTTAGCACTGCACACCTCTTAGCTTTCATGCATTGCTCTCCTCTAATTGTATTCCTGTCTCTCCCAATGCTCTTTCTTTCTGCATTTAATTCAATGACTCATCTTTATGTCCTTCAAGGTTCCACCCTTGGCTGTCTTTTTACCCTGTATTCTTAGTAATAATCTCATCTACCCATGGTTTCAGCAACCTGAAATCTATTTCATGCCCCAAACAATCAGCCTACTGCTACTCCTTATTCTGGTAGATGTCTTCCAGAGAACTCAAACCTCATTCCCAAACTCTGCTTCTTTTTCTGTTCCCCTTTAAAGGGAACAGATACATT